TAAAAGTAGGTGAACGATTTAAGTTGCAAAATGAGGCAGAGAAGAAAGAACTGAGAACTGTTCAGTGTCGGAACAGAAACTTCCATAGAGATCTCTAAATACAGGAAGAGATCATCACAGCCTGAGGAGGCTGAAGTCCTGTCCAGGACTGAGATTTTGAGACTAAGTGGGTTTGTGAGTGATTTGCCTCAAGGATGGGAGGTCAGTCACATGTCCTCTCAAGACTGCATTTGCTTCAATGGGAAAATGGTAATTTACATGGCTAAACTTCTCCAGCTTTAGACGGGGGCAAATAGGATACAGATGCAGAACTGGCATGATTCTATACAGCCTTCACAGAAAAGAAACCAAAAGCGAGGGCATAGTGTGCAGGATAGGGTTAAGATTTTTTTTTTTTTTTTTTTTTAAACATAAAGCCAGTGAGCAGACGATTTTACAACAGGAACTGTGGTCAGCTGGGTGTGGTAGCTCACGTAATCCCAGCACTTTGGGAGGCCGAGGCAGGTGGATCACAAGGTCAAGAGATCGAGACCACCCTGGCTAACACAGTGAAATCCCATCTCTACTGAAAACACAAAAATTAGCTGGGCATGGTGGCGCACGGCTATAGTCCCAGCTACTCGGGAGGCTGAGGCAGGAGAATTGTTTGAACCTGGGAGGTAGAGGTTGAAGTGAGCCGAGATCTCGCCACTGCACTCCAGCCTGGTGACAGAGTGAGACTCCGTCTAAAAACAAAACAAAACAAAACAAACCTGTGGTCTACTCTCAGAACAATCACATTACCCCATGACTCTTACTCATGAATCGCTGATGTGTGATAAAAACATGATTATATGAAAACTTTTTTCTTTTTTTTTGAGACAGCGTCTCACTCTATCACCCAGGCTAGAGTGCAGTGGTGCAATCTAGGTTCACTGCAGCCTTGATCTCTTGGGCTCAAGTGATCCTCCTGCCTCAGCCTTCTGAGTAGCTGCGGCTACAAGGCACATCACCATACCCAGCTAATTTTTGTATTTTTTGGGGTAGAGATGGAGTTTCCTCATGTTGCCCAGGCTGGACTCAAGCTCCTGAATTCAAGCGATTCACCTGCTTCGGCCTCTCAAAGTGCATTTCATGGCTGGGCGTGGTGCCTCATGCCTGTAATCCCTTTGGGGCTTGGGAGGCATGAGCTACCACACCCAGCCATGAAAACTTTTAACAGGCAATTATACTGCTTCAAGATGGCAACTTAAACTATGGAAAACGAAATTGTTGGTAGTTTACTGGATTTATAAAAATCAGTCATCTCCTTAAAGGGTGAATTGAAAAATAGACTTGCTTTACTTTGTCAATAACTGTGTTCCTAAGAGTAGTAAAGGGCACACAGAATGAGGCAGAAACATTTATGCAAAAACTATAGATTGATGATTCTCTTTTTCTTAATTATGATGTATCTTTTCTTTGTCCTGTCTTCCATGGCCAATTGGGTGGGTTCATGGTTTGACTCTGAAGGCCAAGGAGGAGGATTGAGATATGGCTTCTCAATCCAAACTTGAAAGTCAGTTTTAGCATAATATTAGTTGATATATTTAGTTTCAGGTTGAGGGTTTTGTTTTTCAAAACAAACCAATGGATTTTTTTTTTTTTTTTAAAGTACAACTTCTTTTTACTCAAGAGCTTCTGATTCAAGCTATTCACTCTTAAAATTTCAGAGACAGGCCTGGCATGCTAACTTACGACTGTAATCCCAGCACTTTGGGGGGCTGAGGCGGGCTGACTGCTTGAGCCCAGGAGTTCGAGACCAGCCTGGCCTACATGGTGAAACCCCGTCTCTACAAAAAAATTTAAAAATTAGCCAGGTGTGGTGACGCGCACCTGTAGTCCCAGCTACTCAGGAGGCTGAGGTGGGAAGATCACTTGAGCCCAGGGAGGTTGAGGCTGTAGTGAGCCATGATGACATCACTGCACTCCAACTTGGGCGACAGAATGAGACCACTTCAAAAAAAAAAATAAAGAAAAGAAAAAAAAATCCCAGACTCAGAACCAAGAGGTGGCAAGGCATATGACAGATCAGTTTTCTACTGTCTTCCCCAGTGGACACCTGTGAAAAAATGCATAGTGCCCCATCCTCAAATTCCTTATCTTTCTTTTTTTCTTTTCTTTTCTTTTTTTTTTTTTTTTAAGAGATGTCTCATTCTGTTGACCAGGCTGGAGTGCAGTGGTGCCATCTCGGCTTACCGCAACCTCTGCCTCCCGAGTTCAAGTGATTCTTGTGCCTCAGCCTCCCGAGTAGCTGGGATTATAGGTGCCCACCACCATGCCTGACTAATTTTCATATTTTTAGTAGAGACAGGGTTTTGCTATATTGGCCAGGCTGGTCTCAAACTCCTCAAGTGGCCTCAAATGATCCACTTGCCTCGGCCTTCCAAAGTGCTGGGATTATAGGCATGAGCCACCGCCCCTGGCCCCTTATCTTTCTTGAGCTACTTCTGTTTATTCATTTCTATAACTATAACTATAGAATTTCTATATTTCTATAACTATATTCATTTCTATAATTCCAATGCATTTGGCTAACTGAGGAAAGTTGAAAAGTGACTGATGGAAAGAGAGACCTCCAAAATGGCTGGACTGAAATTTTACTCTTTCCTAATCCCTGGCTCTCCACTGTACTCCATTAAGAGTTGACCGGGGTAATCCTTGCACAGGCACTGGCTGGGTGGAAAAGCTCCACACCCTGTGGCCATATTTCGTGCTACAGAGCTGCATCTCTTCCTAGGTGCCACAGTTTGTAAACTCTTCCTAGCAGCTAGCCTGGATGAAATGTGTGCTATCTGTGAATCTCACATTTTCTGTCCCATTCATCTCATTTAGTGTCTCCATTGAGTGATCCGTGTTATCAAAGAGCAGATGTACCCAGAGCTTCCATTTCATACATAGGTTTCTCTTGATTTCCACCTAACACTGACTGAGGAGTATCAACTGAGGACTGTCCTGTTTTTCAGTCTTAGACAAAGAAGTTGGAGCATCAGGGTAGGGCGTTCCATGCACTAAGAAAACAAGTTATTTTTGAAAGCTAAAAGCTGAGGGAACTGGGAAACAGTGTTGTAATGGAAGGAATACAAAACAGGGAACCGGGAGATTTTATTTCTAGCCTTGGTTATTTCATGACCCATATGAGGTCTGGGGCCCGTCACTCACCCTCTATGGGTTTCATTCCTATAAGGAGGGAGACCAGATCCTTTCCAAGGTCCCCTCTGTCTCTAAACTTCTATAATCTGCCTACAGATGGTATTTTCCATGCTTGGCACTATGTCTCCTGGCCATGTGTTTCTGAGCACACAGAATCTGTTTCTTATCTTTACTTATCACTGCCTCTGACCCTGAGACCACTCTTAGCTTAGGTCATTCAACCATATCTCTTACTTTTGAGTTGCCTGTGTCTTTTAGAGCTAGTATTTGAGTCAATCTATGGGAACGCATCCTTTCAAGTCATTTTTTTAAGCCATTAAATGGAAGTCATTGAATTAAATAAACTAAGAAAAATTTATTCATTGGGAAGCGATACAAACTCAACCTGGGATTTCTAGACAAGTTTACATTTCATCCATTTTTAGGCACTCAGATATTTTATGATGAGTACAAGTTTCATTGATATCACTCATTTGACCTTACTTCGTTACATTGTCACATGGCTGCAGTCTTGAGCTTGACGGCACAAAGACCGGCCACCATCAGGAATGTGATTTTCACATTGTCATTCAACAGAACCTCAAACAGCACCTACTTCTGAAGATACAACAATGAAAACATAAGCCCTGATATCAAAGAGCTTATAGCTTTCCAGGGGACCGAGATATGCACAGAGAGCTATATCAGTGCAAAGGAGTGAAATCTAATCAGCTTGGGGATGACACTTGGTAAATCCTGAAGGATGTGCATGAATCACCTAAGCAAGAAGGGGCTGAGCACATCTTTTTACTCATTTCAGTGTAATAAGAATTGAATCAGCACTTATTGTTTTCAATGATTTGGCTTTTTCTAACTTCAGACATATAAGGAATGAAAGGACATCTGATTCTAACCCAACTTATTTCTAAACTCAAATTTACTTTGCAATATCTAATTTTTGGAGTCAAATGCTCTCGTGTATACTACTTGATGAAATACTCTAAATCTCGAGATAGATCTCAGGAAGTTTTGGTCAATCTAAGTCAAGCCTATAGGTTCTTCTAGCACACATTCCTGAAATCCAGTAACGTGGCCACGTATGGGTTTAGTCACAGGTTTATCCCTGTTGAAACAGGAAAGAAGGGTTGAAGGCTTAAGATGGAATGAATAATTTGGGGATGCTTTTAGTCTAGTAAAAGAAGACAGGAAGATTTGGGGCATAAAATATTGAGAAACTATTTTATGCTACAAGTTCTCTTAACCAAACTCCACTGGCAATTCTCCAGCTTCTGTGTAACATTTCCCATTGGATGCTGCAGCATATTGAGCACTCAATTTTTCTTTAGTCACCTCAGCCATCTCTGCTATTTGCTAGTTACATAAGTTAAACTGTATGTAAGCCGAAGAGATATAAATTTGTTATCTTTCTTTTCCCCATTCAAATGTATACTTTTATTTAGCTTTTAAGAGTTAGTCAGGTGCAGTAGTGAGAGTGGGGAAAGAGTAGAACAAGGAGTTTGATCTGTAACTGACAGTGAACGATCAATTGAGACAACTATCTTTGGACCAGTTTTTTTTTTTTTTTTTCCTCACCAGTTCATCTATTTTATCTTCTGCGTTATCTCCTGACCACACAGGTACTGGATTCTCTGTATGCCATCAAGTCACCTAGTTACCTGCATCTTCTGACTATGCACAATAGCCACAGTCTTCCATCTCTTTATTAATACAGAATGGGCTTGCAGTATTGGGACTCCCTCCAAATTCCCTACTCCTAAGTGAGGATGGGAAACAAGTCCTTGGAAAACTATGCACTAGGTCTGACCACTGAGGAACAACTGCAAGAAAAGCAACTTTGAAAATTTCTTTATTAGAGACATTTCAGAACCATTTAAATCAACAGACAATGAAATTTTTAGACATAACATACTGTGTTTATCTTGAGGTACACATTGGGCCCATTAGATAATGTTTTGGAAAGTAATGCAACTGTTAACTGATAGTTAACAACCCAAGTTTTCCAAGCAAAGAAACTGTAAAGACGGTTACAAAATTCTTTGAAAAGAATACACCATTTCCATTTAAGATAAACTCTCCAAATTCTTAACTGATTTCAATTTTTAGGCTTAGCTTAAATATTTTAAATGAAACTTAATATGAGAGTGGGAGAAAAGGTTTATAGCTATAGCTAAGAAATTATCTGAGCCCTACTACATGAGATTGTAAACAAAGGAAATTCGCAATCTGATAAGCTCTATTACAAAATTTATAGCCTAAAAATTAGAGCAGCAAAATTACAGAAGATATTTGTATATAGTTTAAACTGAAATCACGTTTATTCCTTGTTTCTGGCTATCACAATGAGACACATTTTAAAACACCAAGTTTTGGAGACTAAACGGTGTGATTTAACATGATGCGACCATGAGCATCCCATATTATTACAATCCCACAATCTAAAAGCTCTACTTCACATAATTTGCACTCTAGGCCTTTTATTCTTCTTGCTCAAGCAGCCTGGTGCCTTTAGGTAACTTGAAAGATAGTGGAAATTGATAAAAGAGGCATGTTTCTGAAAACCTCCTATGTCCAACAACAGATTTAACTTTTCTGGTAGACTGAAATCAAAATTTCCTTTGAACAGTTCACTAGGTTCTTCAGAGGATTATTTGTTTTCCAGTTTGTTATTCAAAATATTAATCTTATACTTGCTAGGCACGATGAGTAGTGACTTATACAAAGTGTTTAGAAAATGAAGGACCCTCCATCCTGCCACACCCCGCCTCCTATCCCTGGACTTCTCAGGGAGCTGTATGGATAACATGCAGGTGGCTGTGGAATGTGAGCAGAGACTGTTTATGCATGTGTCTGAAAACAGTTGGAATGGACTGTCATAATATTTCCTGTAAGACTGTTGTATTTCGACATGAGACAAGAATAAACACTGCAATTTAGATGAATGGGCAGTCCGCTGCAACTTCATAAACTGCAATGATATATGTGGGTTGAAAGAATGTAAGTAAATTTCACAGTTCATAAAGTTGAGCAGCTCAACTTAAAGAAGAGAAAACTTGCAAGATTGATCTGTGAGTGTTTGAATTCTGCCTCCCAACATGAGTCAGGCCCACATTATACATTTTAGCTGCTTGGCTTGGTTTATTGCTGATTTTCTTTTCTGATGGGGGCCATGATGATTTTTGCCATGAATCTAAGGACCCAAAAGGGTCTTGTTTAGACAGACACTTCCTCTCTTTTGATTATAGGGGACCTGCCAGAGGACATAAGATGATAAGCCTTGACCTGGTTGGTTAGAAAGGTTCTGTGTGTGGATCTCTGGGCATCACTTTTCTGCTGTCTCCTTATTATCACTGCTTTGCATATCTTGTCAGGATTCTCTTGGAGCTATGAATGCTTTGTCTAGTCAGGGCGCCAAGGTCCTTCATAGACAGGTGCTCGGCTTAGGAATGGCAATTTCATATATTTGTGGCTTTTAGAGATGACAGAAGATATTTATTACAATTAAAAGAATTGCAGGTCAGTAAAAAAACAAAACAAAACAAAGAAACAACACACTAGGCAGTGAGAGAGATCTTAGTGATCTTGGGGTGTTCTGTACCCCTTAATAGAGGCTGACATTTTAAAGACAGGACACATGTAATTCTCCATATACCCAGCTGCCCAGAGGACTTCACATCTTTCTTACCCACACATACGTACTCTTAGCAACTGAGATTTCAAATATAAACAATATCATCTCAAAGAGGGCAGGGGCTGTGTCTTTTACTCAGCACTGTAGAGTGATACTAGACTGTTTCATGCATAAGTGAACCAAAGGCCACAGTCCCTGCCCTCAAGAAGTCTCCGCATTGCCAATCAATATAAACTTGACAAAAATACGCCAAGTCCCAAACAAGCAAAAAGAATTTAAAACCCTATTTTGTGTAAAGTTTTTACAAAAAGAAAAATAAAAACAAAAAAACGCTAAAAGGAGTCAGTTGTTTTTGTGAGGCAACCTTCATAGTAAACCCAAACCAACCCTGTTCCTTCTTCCTGAATTTGAGAATCGTGTCTGAGTGTCAAGTATTTTAAAACGGATTCAGCTAGGTTTGCCAATGAAAATTTGCCGCTTAGTAACTGCATCTTGCCTGTTTTTATTTTAGAAAGAAGTTCTGAGAGATTTACTTTCCTAAGGGAGGCAGTCCCCCTCACACAGAAGGATGCTTTCAGAACACGAAAGCCTCATGGGTCTCAAGTCCTGTGAGTGCAGTACCAGACACTTCCTCATTGACTTGTCAGTGACTTTTGAAGAGGTGCTCCAGCGTGAAAATTTTACAGAGTATTCTTTTTGCCTATAGTATTTACATTTTGGGAGACATGTTAGGAGAAAAAAATACTTTTTTTGATAAAGGAGATCTAAGATGGAAAATGAGATCTAACATGGAAAATTAGGTATCAATTCACCTCAACTCTAAACCATGATATGGATTAAAAGTATCTTTCTTCTAATGCCAAGAAACAGAGACACGTTTCACAGGTCTATAAAACTAGACTGGTGGGTCTTGTCTTTCAATTTATTTTTTTTTGTTTTGGTAGCAGGAAGAGATAAGATGTAAGTCCATCCTGCAAGTTTTGCTGCCGCCTCGCTGGCTGACCTTGCTATTCAAGAGGGCACAGTGTGCACCTCGGTCATGGGCTGTCCGCACGTCTGGAATCTGGGGCCAGACTCTGGGGTGCAGGGGGGTAGATGATGCCTTGCTCTGAGAACTAACACAATCCTCAGATGTATATTCTCTAAAAAAGAATAATGACGATGCCATTATATTTTGGAATACTTAATCATATTTAGCAAAAATTCTGAGACTAATGTAAAAGTATGGTAATAATGTATTTTCTTTGAAAGAGAGGGAAGAAGTGGTTTATGAAATAAACAAGTCCTCTTCTAGGTATTTTAAAAATACTCAACAGATGTGGCATATATAATAAGAAAGGCTGGTGCATCTGATTTCTGAGCTCTCGTAAAGCACGAAGCAGGTTGAGAAAGGGTAATGCATGCTGACAAATGCTCTTCAGACCTCTCGTCATCAGACACCAGGGGAAGGAGACCCTCAAACCGGAGAATTATAATTCAACAGAAACTGTCATTTCCCCAGATGTCATGGGAGTATTACATGCAAAAACCAGCCCTGCAGTGAGTGGGCTTAAACTCAAACTTAATTCTTCAATACAGGACTCTTTACTGACTTGTTCTAAGTTTTCAGTGATGAACCCAAATAAGACTGAGCTTCAAGTGACAGGGTTCTGAGAATCTTTGGAGTCATTCTGTCCACTAATCCTAATAGAATCAATGTAGATAACAGTCCCCAAACCTCAATGGATTATTTAAAAGTGAACAGATGTTACCTAAAATATCAGAATCAAAATTATGTGTAAAACATATCCGGGTGTATTGTGTATGCATCTAGACATGTTTATATATGTATATTATTTTTTCTCTGCTCAATAAAATTAGCAGCAGTTACAGATAAATTATTGTGGTCATGATTTGTGTGATTTCTAAGGACAACATATATCCCTTTATCAACACATGACTTTTGGAAAATGCCTTCTCATAAAAAGATCCCCACCAAGCATATAACATTAAAGTGTCAATTCATATCACTAACATTTTCAGGCACAAGAGTAAAACAATTAGCATGAAGCAATCTGAATGACGGAGCACAGAACATAGTTAATTGTCTAAAGTCAACCCTCCTAAAAGAAGGGAATTGTTGTTCAAAGTGTTTTTTTTTTTTTGTTTTGTTTTTTTTTTTTTTTTTAAAGATTTTTATGTCTTTCAGCTTTGGCTGTTTTGTAATAAATATCATACCTTCTCGCATAAACCTACTTGGGTAAGAATGACTTCTCTGCACATGCCTTTTTTCCTGTTAGCAGCTGCTGAGTGTTTGTTGAGTGACGTACAAGGCACACCTCCAAGTGTTCTGTACAGCATTTTTATTGATGTACAAAATAGCCTGTTCACCATTCAAAAACGTAATCTGCATAGTAAGAGTTTCTCTTATCCCTATTTACAGAGAAGGTTTTTAGTGCAAAAACATGAAATTGTGTCCCAGCCCACCCCTTCTAGCACACGCATTGATCAGTTTTGTTCCATGCTGGCTGAGGGTTATTTGGCTATATTTTGGGCCTCCAGCCATTAATGAACTGCATTATCTTCTTCACCTGCAGTTTGCTCAATTTGAAATCCTCTGAGAGGATTTCTTCCGTTAGCTGAACAAGCAGGTTCCCATCAATCTTTTCAGTAACAAAGAAGGATATGACATCTTCGGATAAACCAATGAACCGTAGTGACTTGGCCACTTCCTCTATAGAGAGTCCTGATAGGTCAGCCGGTGGCTGCCACGGGGAACCGTCGCCACAGGATCTGGGGGCCAGCTGGAGGTGGAGTGGGGATGAGAAAGGGTAGGAGGCAGAGAAGATGTCCTGCATGCCCTTTTTAACAAAATACTGGTCCTCAGAGAGATCTGGTGACCCAGACTTGGGGTCTTCCTCAGCACCATCAATTTTCAGAGGCAAAGGAGATGTTTCGGAGGCGACCTTCTCTTCTACTAGTTTTGGAGCCCTGGGGGGTAAGGCAGGGCATGAAGTACTCTGCTTTGTCACGCCAGCTGCAAGAGTTTTCACATCTGTACTCTCCAGAGAGTAGCTGGCTGACTTGGGACAACCAGAGACGCTGCTACTGAATTCTGCAGTGACTGAGCTAGGGGGGCTGGACAAGAGCTCACAGCCATCAAAATCAAAAGGTGCTGGGCAGTTTCTCTTTGGTGTGCCTGGCGTCTTTTGTCTAGGGTAACTGTAACTCCTGCTTGGATCCAGAAGGAAGTCACTCCTGGTCTGGCTCTCTGATGCTCCCAAATAATGATTAGGCCACGAGAGCCGAGAGGACACAGCTTCAGCAGAAGGACTTCCAAATGGGGATTTCAGGTCCACAGAATCAGTTTTCACTCGGTTACATGGATAGCAGGAAACAGGAGTGCTTTCAGAAGGACTTGTGTCAGTTTTAGTGACGCTGCTTAAAAGCAAACACAAAAAGAGAAATCAGTTACAAGAAAAAAGCCAAATCCCAAGGCTTTCGTTATTTATAGATGTTACTGCTGAATAGAAAAGTGCAGTTAGCTTTGAATTCAATAAAGTTCCTGCTAACTTCACTGGTTTTTTTTTTTTTTTAAAGAATCTTTAATAAAATACATTGGTAATTTTAGATATGTACATAATGATTTAAAATGCTACAGAGGAGATAAAATAAGTATTTCACCTGGTAAGAAAATCGTTGTTAATAGGTGCCTGGGTCTTTACGATGAGGAAAATTATTAAGTCATGTGTAGGCTCTGCACCAACAGGTGCCATGATGGATGAATAATGTCTGCAGTGAGCGAGGGTAGAGTGAGAGAATAGTAAATGGGTGGCGCATGCTTGCCATGCTTGCGCTAAAATGACATGATGGCATCACACCACCCGTGACTCTATTTCCATCCAAAAGTCTGAGGTAGGAGGAAATGCTTCAAATAAAATGCTAATCCTTGCCTTGGTTTCTGAACAATCGAGTAACATTAGCACAAGGATTTAAATGTCCAGAGAACAAAAAATACCTGCAAAGAGAGCTACTTTAAACTGTAACGAGCGCATGTGGAGTGGTGGATTAGGCTCTGGGGGGGCCGTGTTTTAAGAGCAACAGGAAACTAGAGTGTGCTCAAAGGAGGGTGAGCAGGCCGGTGAGGGGTCTGACAGTGACGTCAGGGAAGCAGCAGAGGGAGGCACGGATGTTTCTTTTGGAGAAGAGAAGACTTCTATCATAGCTGACTCGGAATTTTCATGAGTCGACAAAGAGATACGGGATGGACCTATTTTTATTTCTTTAGACCTAAGAAATGATTGAAAGTTACATAGAGATTGATTTCAACTCAATATAATAAAGTTTTTTTTTTTAAGTATTGCTACTTGCCAACAATGGAATGAGCTGTGTTGTAGAAGAATGAGCTCAGAGCACTGGAAGTATCCAGACAAAAGGAAATGACCACCCAACAGTGATGGTCAAAAGGGGACTCCTGTCTGGGAATTCAGAGTAGACAGCCAATGGGACCCTTTCCATTTCAGGTCCTGGTCGAAGGTGCTGTCTGCTGAAGGTACTGTCTGCTCGTGTCAAAGTCAGAGTGGAAAGAACTAGATGCTGATCTGTGAGAACTGACGGCAGCCCCTGGGGTGTTTCCAGGAGAATCTAGTTGGCCTTTACCTCTGAATTTCTCAGATTGGTGTGGTATCTTTTCTTCCCAAGACACACTGGCTCTTCCATCCTAGCTAAGGGGCCCCGGCATGCTCACCCAGTGAAATTATTTAAAAAACTAAAAAGCCATTTCCTCTCCCACCACCCTGCCTCAGTTAGGGCTACCCTGAAAATGCTCTCAAGAACCCATGAACTGCTGGATGAGAAGATAAGCGTGCAGCGGGGCCTGGCAAGAAGACTTACATGTTGTGTAGCCCTGAAGAATAGTAGGACAAGGTGGGGCTGGGAGAGCGAGTCTGTTGCCGCGCTGGCTTGACTGTGCGAGGAGGGATGGAGGGACTGGTGGACAAAGGCTTTGCGCTTCGGGGTGGAACAGGTGGGGCGTTCAGGAGCCGGCATTCTTCTCTGACCTGGCGCAGAAAAGAACACTCCAGGTTAGCAACAGACTGACAATGCCACTGGGGGCCAGCTCAATCCTGCAGACTTGCTCAAGTCACTCCTCTTAAACCATAACAGCAGGGTGTAAGCACGGCAGAGAGAAGATTGAAGTAAACAAGAATGATGGGAAGCACAGAGGCTGCCAGAGAGCAAATCAGACGCCTGTCACACACTTGCTGGGACAGAATGACTTTTGAAAGAAACTGCTTCGCAAATGCTGGCTGCTACTGAAATACAGAAAGTAATATGAAATATGGCAAGTTAAAGTATCTATGGTTAAAGAGCTAGTGACATGTGAGGATGGATAAAAAGGAAGTATTAAGAAAATAAGAACATAAGGCATTCACAAATTTAACTTGAGGATTCATCTCTTCTATTAGGTTGTGTTTTTTTCACTGTTCAAGCTGAATTCAATCTGATCCAAACCTTAGAGAACCCTGGACCTGGTCCAGGGCTAAAGCTCCTTCTGAAGTCATGTTCAGGGAATTTTTTTTTTTTTTTTTTTTTTTTTTTTTTGAGATGGAGTCTCACTCTGTCGCCCAGGTTGGAATGCAGTGGCACAATCTTGGCTCAGCTCACTGCAACCTCTGCTTCCTGGGCTCAGGTGATCCTCCCACATCACCCTCCCGAGAGGGCACCTGACTAATTTTTCATATTTTTAGTAGAGATGAAGTTTCTGTTGCCCATGCTGGAGTGCAGTGGCGCCATCTTGGCTCACTGCAACCTCCGCTTCCCGAGTTCAAGCGATTCTCCTGCCTCAGCCTCCTGAGTAGCTGAGATTACAGGCACCTGCCACCACGCCCGGCTAATTTTTGTATTTGGAGTAGAGTCGGGGTTTGAACATGTTGACCAGGCTGGTCTTGAACTCCTGATCTCAAGTCATCCACTTGCCTGGGCCTCCCAAAGTGCTGGGATTACAGGTATGTGACACTGCGCCTGCCTGGCAAGGGCTTCGGAAATGTAAATGTGAGTATCACTGGAGGATCTTGTTTAAAATGCAGATTTTGATTCTGTTGACACAGGGTGGGGCCTGAGAATCTGCATTTCTAACAAGTTCCCAGGTGATACTGATGCTACTGGACCACGGTCCACTCACTGACAAGGTTGCAGAAGGAGTCATGAAGCGGCTCTCTACATCCGGAAAGTACTTTTTAAAAGAGCTGCTTCTAGCTCTCTCCTTTCCTTCGTCTTCACACTGGAGAGGATCTAGCTGATCTGTGATGTCCATGGCTTCTCTGAGACTGCCTGCTGTTCCCCTAATTTGCTTTCCATTCCTTGCAGGCATTTCAGAATATAATCACCAATGAAGCGACATTTTTCATGTACTTCTCCGTGTCAGGCAGCAGGGGGCAGTTTATACCTGGCTCTGCCAGTCTACCCTAAGCTATAGCGGTAAAAATATTAATAGAGCCAATAGCCAATTCTGACTCTGTCAAAAATGCTATGCTTTGAAATGCTCTCCCGGTCTACTTTTAGGCTATGTCCCCACCAAGTTTTTCACCTTCACTTTCAACTCCTTTCTGGCCAAGCAGCTCTGGGATAAGACAAGAAAACAGCAAGCTCCTATTAGCTTTGGTACTGAGTTTGCTTAAGCTGAAATGAAATGGGTTCATGTCATCACACTGCATCTCCTACTATCTACACCGCACCCAGGATCTCTACCTCACACCCCAGGCCTGATCCACTTCCCAGAGAAAACCAGCCATTAAGAAAGGACGCATGGCTATGGGTAGCCCAGTAAACCCAATTCTAAATGAAATGGAAGCAAGTCTCTCATTGGCTACATTTCTTCCCGGGGCTGCCGATCACTGCTCCTACCTGCAGGGCCGACAGCCCTGGTTACTGGGGCCCAGTGGGTTGGGGAGAGGGAATGGTTTCATCTGGAGAAGCTCTGTAGACTAAAAGAAAATATTCGGAGCAGCAGATTTCTTCCACAATAGATGCAGGCTTTCCCCTTGTGAGCTTTTAAAAAGGTGGTGGATGACTGCAGAAAGGATGCCCACGAGGAAATGAGGTTTGGATAACGACATGAGAGGAATGCTTGGCGGGGCTGGCCCAGGAAAGACCCTTGCACCATTCTGGGGTCTTCCTTTTTTTTTTTTTTTTTTGAGACGGAGTTTCACTCTTGTTGCTCAGGCTGGAGGGCAATGGCGTGATCTCGGCTCACTGCAACCTCCGCCTCCCAGGTTCAAGCGATTCTCCTGCCTCTGCCTCCTGAGAATAGCTGGGATCACAGACATGCGCCACCACACCTGGCTAATTTTGTATTTTTAGTAGAGAGGGGGTTTCGTCATGCTGACCAGGCTGGTCTCGAACTGCTGACCTCAGGTGATCCACCCTCCTTGGCCAGCTGGGTCTTCTTAAGAGGCTGAGAACTGACCAGGATGTTGCAGCTTAGGCTGGGCGACCCCGCTTTCTGGCTTTGGTTTATCTTCCACTGCCTTGTTAGGGAACTGTAAGGTAGCCAAATGTGTTTGTTTCTTAGGGAATATCTGTAGACTTTAGGGTGGATGGGTGTCACTTCATTACAGATGTGCTTGGTTCTATTTATGTTTATAGTAATAGGGCTCATGGAAAATGCGAGACGATAAGGACTCTGTCAGTTAACTTTTTAATTTTAAAATAAATACTTAGTCACTTCCCAATATTGGATTAGAGTGGAACATGAGGAAAACATGGTTAAGCTGGATTCATTTTAGCATTTTCAAAACTTTAGAATTAGCCATTAAATATGACATTTCATTAGGAAACACTTACCTGAGATGCCAATTATAATATGCTCAGATGCCAATTACAATACGCATTTTAATTTACAATAGTCGGCTGACTTCGGTCTATAAACTCAGAAAAGCCACTTGCAGTTGAAATTGACCTAAAGGAACTCCCCTCTTCCTGTTCTCATAACCAATCCCAGGTACCCAAGGTCACTTAGAGCTGGTTCCGCCACCTTCATAACTAGGGACTCCTGAGGCTAACAGGTTTCCCACAATGGCGAGGAGAGGGCGATAGTGAAGAGAAACACTTCCAAGCTCCAGGGCCTGGTGAGGAGGTAGCCGGGGCCAACTGGAGTGTTTATGGTTAGCGCTCAAGACAGAATTTGAGACACGGAAAGCCTTTGGGGTGGCCACATGACTCCTGAAGGGAGTTAAAGAACTAATATATGTGTGTGTGTGTGTGTGTGTGTGAGAGAGAGAGAGACAGAGAGAGAAACAAGCTGATTCTTACTCTTAGGAGATGGGATGTTGTCAGTGATGAAGCAAGAATATGAGGCCAGGATTTTTTTCTGTTGTGATGGGAGGGCAATCTGGGTGTTGCTATGTGAGGTCAAGGTAAAAGAATTAGGCTTACTTGAAACTCACTTTAGAGAAAGGTGGTTTTTTTGTTGTTGTTGTTTTGTTTTTTTCTTTTTTTAAAGGATGACTTTAAAGGGACTCCATTCATGACAAGAATTTCGAGTGTCATTTTGTTGAGGCACAGAGTGAGTGGCTTGCGCTACGCCAGGCAGGTGGGGGGCAGCCCATGGCAGGTGGGCACAGCTGAGGACTCCACAGACACATTGCTAAGTGGCATTATAACTTTCAACTTGCTGCTGCATGGGTGGCCGCTCTGATGATGGCCTATTTATCTGCATCTTAAGGGAAGAATGACATGCTGTGGTAGGATGTATGCATTTTGGGATTCAGAAATGACAAAGTGAGGGTATATTGTACCATCTTACATACTATCTCTTACTATCGGAACAGTAACAGTTCTACTACTCTTTGCTTCTTGATTTGATTCACGTGGGATATTTACATCCAGGAGGAAGGTAGCTGTGTTTTAGATGAGTTTTATCTGTCAATAAGAGACAATTCGTAAGACTAGACGGTCAATCACCCTATTTCCAGTTTTCCTTCATATTCAATTTAGCTTTTAAGTGTACAATTTTCAGCACATCCCTTCTGGAAGCCTCAGCATGTGGCTCTCATCATGTTACTGGCTGTCTCCGGTGGCTCCCTCTGATTCCTGGATAAAGGCCGGCCTCCCCTGCCTGCCACCCAAGGCTCTGTGCAGTCAGGGTCCCACGCATCTTTCTAGCAAGCTCTCCCACTGCTCCTAGTCTATATGGGCACACAGGTCCCTGCAAAGTGGCGGACTCAGTGTCCCCCCAGCACACCCTGTGCTTCCCTGCCACTTTCTCTGGTTTAGTTTTTACTGCCCACCACACCTCAACACCAGTTCCTGTGGGCCAGCCCCACACATTACACACTCTGTGTGCCACACACTGTTCATATTTACTTACTCTCCATCTATATTTAATGAGCCTGAGAGCTAAAACATAGGGACTGCCATACTTGTTATCACCATCCTGGGGATAGCAGAGTTTGGGAATTTGTCACTCCTGGCACAAGCATGTCACACAGAATGCCTGGTAGATGTTAAGGAATGTCACAAAAAATACCAAAAAAAAAAAAAAAAGGCACTTAAAAAACTCATATACCATAGAATATCTTTTATATGTTTATGTGGAAATTATTATTGACAAGTCATTTGGGCTGAATGTTGTTTTTTTTTGGTGACACTGAGTCAATTTAGGGAAAAAAAGGCACCAGCAGACCTGGCACATATGATCACCACCAACTCTACCACCACCCGTTGACACAGTGTCACGGTGAAAATGACAATGACAGTATTCCTGAACTAGGAAATGCTGTGGCTTTAATCTAGCATACCCCAGAGTAATGACTACTCTAAAATGAAGATCTAAAGGACTATATTGTGCCTAATGGACTATTTGTTTCCAATGCAACGTTTACGACTGGACTTCCACCGGCAACACAAGGAGAGAGGGGCCCCTGTAGTATCAGGAACGAACCTCCAACCCTCGTGCTCAGTGAAGAGCTGGCATTCTGTTTTGAGGTGGGTGTTACCGTCCACTGCAGATGACGGTGATCTTTGCCTATGTGTAGTTAATTTCTGGTTATGAGTACCT